GCGCGGCCCGGTCACCGCGGGAGCGATGCCTGCTGCGCCACGGCCCGCAGCCCCCTCCCCGCACGCCTGCCGTTGCGGTCGCGGAGCGGGGTGTCCCTGCGTTTCTCGCGATTGTCACGCAGCTCGGGCCGCAGACCCCCTGGAGGAACCACAGGATGGTTCTCCGCCGCTGGCGCCGCTGCATCCATCCCCCTTCCGGTTGGCGACGCCTGTCAGCGCCCGCCTGGCAGATGCACCTTCAGTTTTGGCCTCCTTAGAATTACTGCGTGTTAGTCGTTTTGCGCACATTCAAAATGGTGAGTTTGGAGCCGTGCAAACCAAGTTGAATGAAAGGGGAGGACGTAGACAGGTTTTACAGGAAGAATAATGTGGGAGATTAAAAGAAATATTTTTTACATCTGCGTAGACACTAATTTGGATTGATTAGTCTTCTGAAGTTTGCCTTTTTCCAAAAATAAAGGCTCAATATATTATTTTTTTCATGAAATATTTGGGCACATTTCTTTTAAAATGGCAGTTACCTTTGCTGAAGACGCCACATCATTTCAAGAGTCTGGAAATAAACGTGAAAAGAGTGGAAATAAGCTTTTAAAGTAATTTTTTTTTCACCTTTGTAGTTGTCTTCAGGAATTCATGTCATTTTTAAAAAATCAATGTAATTTTTAATTTTTTTGAATTACAGACATGCAAGCCTGATGTAAAATTTAACGATATAAATAAAGAACTACGAGGTAAAACGTGAACATTTCTTTTCATTCTTCAGACCCACTCCAGTATCTAGATTTAACAATTTAATGTTCATCTTTCAGAGTCGTTTTACAAATTTACTTTTAAACACACACATATACATGCAAAGGTGTTTTTCGTTTTGCGCAGGCGGTATACCAAGCATATTTCTATGTCACTTGCTTTGTTACTTAACTGTATTTCTTGAACATTCTTCATTACATGTAGATCTCTAACAGTTTTTAAAGGCTAATGATGTTTCATCAGTTTGAATGGCTTCATTTGACCATTCCCTATTGAAAGACATTTACGTTAATTGATTTTTGATTTTGCGATTACAACTAATGCTGTATGGGGCCAGGAATTTAGCTCAGCGGCACCAGTGCATGCCTGGCAAGTGCAAGGTCCTGAGTTCCATTCCTGGTACCAAAAAAAAAAAAAAATGCCGCAACAAGTAATGCTGCGTAATAGACACAACTTTCTAACTTATTAATTGATGCTTAATTATAAACCTTAAATCCTTGATTTTAAAATATTAAACATTCTTTATAAAAAGACTGTAAGTAAAAAAATACAACTTCCATTTCCCTTCCTTGTCATACTTACATCCCAAGAGTCAGTGTTGAGCAAGTCAGTAAACTTGCCGTCTGTGTGAATATTTCTGGGGCATGGATTCCTAGAAATGGAAATGGAATTGGAATTGCTTAAAGGGATGCGTATTTTAAATTTTGATAGCCGTTTATCCCTTCTTATTACTCTTTTCAAAAATATTCTCGACTCTTGGGCATTCTTCCGGATGAACGTTAGACTCAATTTGTAGTTTGAATTTTTTAAAACACTCAGCTATTTTGAATGAGGTTATATTGAAATTTTAGATTAATTTGGAGAGCACTGAGTCCTCTTCCCAGGTCCACAGAGATGTCACCATTTTATGTCTTGCGCTGTATTCTTGGGGAAAGTTTATCTCCCCACCCCAATTGTGTGCAGTTCCTTCTCCATAGTCTAGCTACTCAATGGTACTAGAAATTGTTCTTTCTCCTTTCTCTTAAGAGAGAGAGCTCTTGCTCTTGCTGTCTTCTAACTATGGGATAGCTTTTGAATTTTCCTGTTATCATGTAATATTTTGAGTTGGTAGTTATCTGAAAATATTCAGAGTTTTGTAGTTGGCTTTACAGTTTTTGTAACGTTTTTCTCCTTGCTTTGGCCGTTATACACTGTACAATGCTGAATAGTAGCACTATTGGCCAAATCTTGGTATTGTTTCTGACTTCAAGGGGAGTGCTTCTGATGTCTTAGTATGAACGATGATGCTTCCCAAAACTTTCTGATAAACTGCCAATATTAAAGTAAAATATTTTCTTCTATTCTTGGCTTTCCAAGATAATTTTATGTTTTCATTTTTGTTTACATTTTTAAAAGCTGTAAATAGTTACCATTTCCTTAGATTTTCTTTGACATCTTTTGAGGTAGTTATACACTCATAACAGCAGTATTCCCTGGTTAATAGTTCCCTAATAGAGTGTCTTTTTTAAAAAAAAAGAAGATATGGAGGATAACTTAGATATGCCGAAATATTTATTTAAATGTACAATTCATTTTGTTTTGACAAATGTGTACTTTTTGCATACTACACTCAAGATGGAAAATATTTTAATCTCTCTCAAAACTTCCCTTGTGCCCTTCTGCAGTCAAATGTTCACCCTCAGACTCAGGAAACCACTTATCTTTTGCTCACTATAAATTGTTTCATTTGTTCTAGAATTTCATACAAATACACTTGTGTTTATAGATAGACATCTATCTACCTATATATATATAAGTGGTTTTTATGGTCTTTGTTTTTGTTGTGGTTTGCTCTTGAGACAGGGTCTTGCTGTGTAGTTCAGGCTGGCCTCAAGTTCACAGCAATCCTTCTGCCTCATCCACCTGAGTGCTGGGGTACAGGCATGCATCACCATGCCCAGTGTAATATATACACTTTTGCATCTCATTTTTCTCAGCCTGATTTTTTTTTTGAGGATCATGTTGTGATTTTTTTTTTTAATTGGCTGATCTCTGTTGTTGAGTAGTCTGTGATTCTGATTTACTTCAATTTTTTGCTTATATCCTCTGTTTATGGATATGTGGGTTATTTCCAGTTTGGGATTCTTAATAAAGTTGCTATGAACGTTCTTTCTGCGTTCTTGTGTGAATATGTTCTTACTGTTTTTGGTAAATGCCTGCAAGCAGAATATGCAAGCTTGCGTGGTAAGTGAATGTTTAAATAAGAAAGTGCCAGACTTTTTCCAAAGTGGTGGTTCTGTTGTACTTGTCCACCAGTATGAAATTCCAGTTGCGCCCCCCCCCATCCTCATTAACACTTAGCTGTTTTAGCCTTTTTAATGTTAGCCCTTCCGGTGGGTGTGTCACAGTGTCACACTGTGATTTCAGCTTGCGTTTGCCTGATGACTGATGGCACTGAGAATTTGTTCATGTGAGTGTTTTCATTCTAAAGTCTTTCTTCAGACCTTTGGGCCATCTTTAAAAGTTAGGCAGTTTGTCTTCCTGAGTTTTGAGAATTTTGTATACATTCTTTTTTTTTTTTTTGTATACATTCTTTATAAAATTCCTTTGACAGATACGGATCCATAAACGTTGTGATGAAACTTTACTATAAAAGACAGGAACTTTACAATTAAATTTGATTTATCCATAATTTATGGTTTGTGCTCCTGTGTTCTTAGAATTACTTCCCCAGCGCAGAGTTGTGCAGGTTTTCTTTTGTTTCTTTTTACAGGTTTTACAGTTTTGGCTTTTATGTCACGGTCTGGTACTGTTTTTGGCTTTGTGTGTGGTGTGGTAAGGATGGAGGCTTGTTTTTTCAAATGGTCGTGTAGTTCTTTTAGTGCTGCTTGTTAGGAACACTTTCCTTGTATTAAATTTGCTGAGAGTCATTGGGCTTATATGTGTATTTGTTTCTGGACTGTTCCTTTGATCCTTGTGCTTATTATACTTTTGCTAATACTGCATTGCCATGGTTGTTTTTACTTTATAGTAAGTCTTGAAATCAGGAATTCTTAAGCTGTATTCCTTTTAAAAATCACTTCGGTTATTCTGGTTCTTTTGCATTCCCATGAAACTTAAAGGCATCTTGGACTGTGTTGAGTGTATAGATCAATTTAGGAAGAAATTAACATCTTTTATCAACATTTTGTACTTCAACATAGTTATTGTTGGGCATTTTGTTAGATTTATGACTAATGTTCATAATTTTATGCTATTATAAATAACTCTTAAATTTCTGTATTCAGTTGTTAAACTGCTGCACAAGCAATCCAATCTTTTTGTTGCATATTGACCTTCAATTTGCAGTTTACTAAGCTCACTTATTCTAGCAGGATTTTTTTTGCAGAGCCTTTGGAATTTCCTTAGTCATGTTATTTGCAAATACAGTGTTCAGATATTTTAAAATTTGAATGTTAACCCTCTCGCCTTTTTCCCTTAGTATATTGGTAAGTGCTCCAGCTTGATGTTGAAGAGGTACAGTGAGAGCAGATGTCCTTGCCTCGTACTGTATCTGATTTTAAGAGGAAAGTTTCTAGTTTTTCATTAGTAAGTGCGATAGAGTGATGCTACAGACTCTTTTTGTTCTCAGAATTCACATGGTGAAACCTGATTTCAGGTGCAAGCATATGTAGGGGAGGTTGAGGTTATTAGATCTTAAATGGATTAGTGCCCTTTTAAAAGAAGCCCCAGAGAGTGCCCTTTCCCCATTCCACCTTGCAGCAATGAGAAAACAGAGAAAAGACTGCCGTGCAAGAACCAAAAAGCAGCCCTTCACCCAGACTGAATTCACGGGCAGCTTGAGCTTGAACTTCTTAGCCTCCAGACTATGAAAACTAAATATCTGCCATATAGAAACAACCCAGGCCATCTAGCTTGTTATAGCAGCCTTCATGGAATAAAGCAAATGGTCTTTTATTAAGTACGTTGTCATTCTGTTCTTGGATTGCTCAGTGTTGCAGTTATGGGTAGATGTTGAGTTGGGTCAAATGTTTTTATTGAGGGATCATGTGCTTTATTTTACAAGTTAATTTTCAAATGTAGAGTTAAG